GATTATTTCACATAAAAATAAGTTTAAAAATGCACACTATTTTCACAACTTGGAGAAATTAAAATAATTTATTATAAAAATATCTATAGCATCTAAAATCCCCCATGCCAGCAGAAGACATGCACAGAAACATTGATAAGATTATGCTATTGAGAGATTTTTTTTAGCAATTAAAAAGTAATAATACCAAACACAAAAACAATATAACTAATAAGAATAGCAATCTCAAACATGTAGAAATAGGTCAGAAAGGAAGACAAATAAATACAGAAGACATAATACACCACACATATTCATTTCTCAAGAAGTAGTTTAGTTTGGTAGGAATAAATATATAAATGGAATTATATATCAATAATTACATTTAATATAAAACCAAGAAAATGGATAATATTTGCAGTAAGTTGGATGGTGGTCGGTCTCCTTAGATACATGACTCAATATATTGCAGCAACTTTATTGTTGGTTGGTTTTACTTTGTTTAGACAATACAGGACAATAACGTAGAAATTAAATATAAAAATTATGTTGAGAGATTTATTCATCCTTCAAGCACAACCAGAGTGGTCTTCCTAAATAATAAATCGTTTCAGCCTTAGAGATATCTGAAAGCTTTCCAGCAAATGTAGAATAAGGTTTAGACTCCGTGGTCCACTGCTGAAGTCTCTGAATAGGAGCAGATGCTCTGAATCAGGCTGCCTGAGTTGAAATCTGAGCTCCATCCCTTGTTGGTACTAGCTGTGCGACCTGGGACAAGTTACACTTTAGTCCTTAGTTTATTCATCAGTGACATGAGGATAATAGTGTCTCATAGCACAGTGCTGGTGCATGGTGAACAGGCAGAGTAACTGTCGATATTATATGGACCCCCCTGTGCATTTTTAGTCTTCTCTTCCATGCATCCTTCTTCCAGAAGAATAGCCGTTTACTCATATACTCCATCACCACCCACCTTGATGTCTTTAATGTGATGTTTTTTGAAGGAAACCGAGGCTTGTCAAGATCACAAGTAGAGTAAGTCATAAATAGAGCAAAACTGGGATTTGAACTCAGCTTGGTTGGATACCAGACTCTTGCCTTACCCCACCTCTACTTTCCATCTGATACCCACCTCCACTTGGGTGGACTAGCTTGTGTCAGATCAATCTACTTGACCTGAAAAACTAGGGGGAAATACCTATTTGAAGGTGTCGATGAACTACCAAGCAGCCAGGAGCTGATGGGTCAAGATCCTTGAAAGAAGAAAACTCATTGAGATGAGCCTGCCATTCGGCAGCACCTTTTCTCTCAAAGCATTTGCTGCTTCATGAGAGGAACTAAGCAAGTGGAAACCTACGCAGCAGTCATGGATTAGAATACTCAATAGTACCACTTCTCCCCCAATCAGTTTATAGATTATGATAAGCCTAATCAAAATGTCAGGTGGTTTGTGTGCACGTGTGTGTATGAAAATTACCAAGTTGCTTCCAAAATTTATAGGGAGACACAGAGGGCCAAGAATACCAAAGGCAAGCTTGAAGAATGAAATTGGAAGGCTTACACTGCCAGATAAAGCTATAGTAATTATAAGGGTATAGAATGGGTAAGAAAAGTGTGTGGAATGGTTGAAGAAACTATATGCTTCTTAAAACATTAAAAACAAACAAACAAACAAACAAAAGCCCTCAGGAGAACATATCAGTTGACTTCAAATATCTATCTAAAAGGTTGTCCCCTCTTAGAGTTTTAAATAATATTTACACATGTGTTTTAGGTTATATCACCTCATGTCAATTTTTTGACTAGGATGGATAAGTAATACATTTACAAACAAATACAATGCAATTCAATTCTTTACATTGATTAGATAGATCTGTTTGACATAGTCCTATAAGTAAAAAATTTGGATTTTTCATTTTCAAATACAATTTCAAATCAAATAAAAACAGAGGCTTATTTTATTAAGGAGACTATATGTGTGTTGCAGAAGAGCTTATTGTTGAAGAACAGATTACAAAAGCTTGTTTGCTTCTTTAAATGATTTTTTGTAATAGATAGCTGTGGTCTGCCCAGCACAGCACAGAAGATACATCCTTAATACATAGAGTTGGAGATCATTCACTGTCCATATTTGCTTCAGTCAACTTTGGGAAATAAAATATCCACACTGAATTTTTTTTTTTTTGATGAAGCTGCAAAGTGAGTTGAAATAAACCAAACAATAAAAACCTATGAGCACGTACATTTACATGATAAAATAAACCTTTATATATCTGAATCATGGTAAATATGGATTATGTTTATTTTATATGGAAATAATTCCCCTTACACAGAAAAAAAATATGTGTTAGTTACTTGCATTTTTTGGGGGCAGTGTTTTATCTTATGAAATTGATCAGACATAAATCTAGTTCTCCAAGTGATCACAAATTCAAGGGTCAAAGGGTAGTAGGAGAGAGAATTAGTTTGATGTGCACTCACATGAAGTGATTAAAACTTAAAACATCTTTGGTTTCACAGGCTTTGCACAAGAACATTCAATGAACCTCCACTTAGCCATCTAAATAATATTCACCTTAACACCCAATTATTTGGAGCCATCTTTCTGGACAGTACTTTAATAGACCTCTCAAAACTACTTGTAACAGTCTATTTCAAAATTTTTATGTTTCAGAGACATAAGAGACATAGTGACTTTAAGATGCCTTCTGAGCATAAATAAAATGTTGGCGTTTGCCATTTTTATTATTATTCATTTTAGCTGTTCAAGTTCTATTTCTCCCATCCCATCCCCTCCCATCCCTCATACAGCCACACATTTTAAAGCCTAGTCTCACATTTTAGAGTCCAACACAACATTGAGACCTGAAAGACCCCTCGATATCTTGTAATGGTGGCTTGAGAAAGCTGCTTTCTTTGAGCATAACGTGGTCACTCTTTTATTCATCTATCCATTATTGTAATATTTATTGTGTATTTGACCCAGTGCTACATGCAAGGGAAAACAACGGTAAGACACAAGATTGTTGACCTTTTTGCGATTCTTCAGGTGCTGAGCTCATTTCTTTCCACTTTCATCTTTCTTTGTTTTGAGCTCATTTGTAGTTTCCTCTAATTATCAGCTCTTAAGAAATGAGTGGAGGCCCAGATTCCAATTCTGTGCAAGGCACATACATTGGGTGAGACTAGCCATATGTCTCAATTGGCACATATTTCTTTTGTTAAGAAAGGATTTGTTATGTCTTTAATAAGACTTAAAAAATAGATGCAGTTTTTATTCTATCACACAATGAAGATATTTCTAAAGTTCATTAGTGAAAATTAACATAGGCCAGTGACACTGAGTTTGGGCATAAGGATGCCAGATGCAATACACTGTTTGGGACATACTTCCTAAAAAATTGTTGTTCATCTGAAATTCAAATTTAATGGGGCATCATATTTTTTCTAAATATGGCAATCTTATTTGGGCATTACAATATTTTACAAACTGGGTCAGGTCTGCAGTTCATCTTTCAGCACAATCCAGTCCAAACACCTCCAACCAGGGCTGGAGATCCTGAATTAAGTGCCCAAGAGAATTCTATCCTGACCTCACCAAAAAAGTCACCAAGATTATCAGTCAGGATGATCAGAGTCCTTAATAAACAGTAACACAGACATTAGGAAGGATGCAAAATGTCTGAGAACCAGGGCCTTCCTGTATTCCATCCTAGAATGAAATTCATAACTGTGAAATCACTCTACAGAGGGCATGATTGTGCCTCAGGTGAATCTCTGGGTTCACGGTATAAACATCCCTTTACATAATGTTTATCTCAGACACTAGAACAGTTCCAAAAGAACTTCTCTCCCTTGCCAAGAAAGATCTATTTTTAAAAACCTTTATTACAAAAAACCCCTATTTAAATATCATGGCAATAATCCCTGAGGAAAGGTGTCGTATTATAAAGAACATTGTAAGATAAAAAGATTTAGGAAGGAACTTTTTGGGGAAAAATTCTGTCTTCCAAGCTGAGATTTTCTGAACTCACATACCCAAATACCTCCAAAGAGATTCACTACACAGTATTTTTAAGTTATTTGCACATGAATATTTTACAGTGATTTTAAAGAACAGATGTTCTCATATTTTTCTCCACTTACAAATTTTGAAAATAATCTTTTAAAATGTCTTCAGTATTCCCAAGTGCTTAACCTTTGCTCTGAGGTAATTACAGGTAAACATCTTGTTACCCACTAGGTAGGTTTTTCAAGGATGTTTCCAAATCATCTACAAATCATGTTCAAATATTTCTGGCACCTGGCAGAGTCTACCAAGGGCAGGGTGAGGATTTACTCCACATAATGGCCCAATAATGTCACAATAATAGTTGATACTTCTTTCCAAACCCCTTCAGTAGCCTAACTTCATACCAGAAATAAAAGGCAGGGTAGTTGAAATCAGCCAAAGGTGAAAGGGTAGAAGAACCCGGAGATGACTAGGCTGCAAAAAAGAGACAGAAAGAATACAGGGGAGCTTTCGTTCAAACTCTGAAAAGCTTTGAGAGAGGGATTGGGTTGGTTGTGTGTGATCTGGAGGCCAGAGCCAGGATATCTAGGAGAAACTGAAGGCAGATTTCAATCTGTGCTGTAGAAGACCCTCCAGTGATAATAGCTCCTATGTCTCTGCTCTATCAAAGAGGACCAAAATAGTAGCAGGGGAATTGGTCTAGATGAAGCCTGCCTTTTAAACTTGATTCTGTGGTTCACAAAATTTAGCAACAGGGAAGCCAGAATGTGCTACTTTAGACCCTAAATATTGGGGATTCCTATCTGAATCTGAATCTCAGCTCTCGCTAAGTGACCTTGGATAAACTGCTGAAGCTTAGAATCTATATCCACTGCAAAGCATTGTTTGAGGATTGAATAGCATATGAATGATGCCTGCCAGATACTTGGTACCCCATAAATGCTTATTTAAAAAAAACCCGAATAACTAAATGAACGATTTCACCTTAGCTGGGCTTTATTTTTCTGAGGTTTGGGCCTTCTGTGATGAACTCACAAACATACCTGTGGGAGAAGAGTGAAATGTCCCCAAGTCTAGTGGAGTTGAAGAGGTAAGTAGTTTGACCCCTGGTGATCCCTGGGAAGGTGGTTGCAGATTTCACGGTGGGTGGATGTCTTAACCAGCTCTGACTTTGCTCCTCGCAGGCTATGGGATGTTGGAGGGTACGTGAAAGGACTGTATACTAAAAGTCATGACCTTTCTTCAAAGGCCCATTTTGGCCTGCTGGGCACTGGGCACGCAAGACTTTTCTGAAGGAATTGGTAGCAGCCCTGGACAGATGGTGGGGAACAATGGATGGATGTAGGGGGCACTGAATAGATGGTAGAGGATGCTGCATAGATGGTGGGGGGTTAGTGCCAGTGTCCATGCAAGACAGCTACAGGGACCCTTCCCTACCTAACAACAGTATCAAAATGTGTAAACCATATTGGAGATTTCATACGCTTTAAGTTTCCAAAGTTTAGAGGAGGGCGGGGAGTGGAGGGACCTAGGAGTGTAAGAGACTGGACCTTCCACTATGGTGGATGGAACCATGAAACAGTTCTAATTTAATTAACAAAATAATTAAACATGGCCTTCCTTGCACCCTCGAAATGTGGAGCATGTCTGCTTTTCCCTGGCACTTTTCTGCATCAGTGTTCTCTCCTCCATGCCTTCGCCACTCAGCCTCGATTTTCTCACTCTCTTCGGACTGCAGGTATCTGTCTTGGGCTGCAAGATTGTACTGTTTTTCAGTACCAGAAGATTATGTAAACATCAGGGGGGAAATTTATTTTGTTCTAACATTGACTTTTTGTCCTTACATAGTTCAAAAAGTAAACTGAGTAAAGCACCTACCTGCTTAGTCCTCAGTTGTCGTCTCTTTGAAATGCAGGGGCTAGAATCACTAAGATTCTTTCTAATTCAAAAGTCCTGTGATCTTTGATATAGTTGGGAAGTACTATTTAGTCACCTTTGCAATTGCAGTCACAAAAATAGAACTGCCATGATGCATCTGGATATTTCAGCTTGTGTCACTGACCCTCTCATGTCAACAGTGGCCCTTGGAAAGAGGGTATGTTGGCCTGGGAGAGACACAGGCTTTATTCATATAGTTAACAGTGCCTTAGAAAAGACTGGTCTCGAACTGCAAATTGCTTCAAGACCTAAGTTCAAGGTTAGCCCTCACCTCTCAACTTGAAGCTTCTTGGAAGATTTATTCAAAGCCAAACCTTAATACATTTTTGCTTTAATAAGTAAATCATCAACAACGTAATCACTCTTTAAAATATTTTCTGTGGTCCCTTCCACTCTCTACCCGAATCCTCAATACCTTTATGCATAAAATGGAGGTAATAGCTTGCAGGATTATGGGGAGGACAGGATGAGATAAGGTATAAAAAGTGCTTCTCATGGTAGATGTGAATAAGAGGTTCTTAGTAAATGGCACCCTTACTAGAAGTTATTGCCCTTAGATCTGGGCTCTCACACCTGCTGTTCTGCTCACACCAGTGAGAGGTCATGATTTTATTCTCCCTCCTATTCTTCTGGGTCCTGAAAGCATCTCTTTTGAAGAACCAGATTTCCCCACTGTGAACAATGAATCCAGAGGGATTGTCAATCCAGCAATCCATTTCTTTGGAACTTTATTTGCATGATTTTCCATATTTAATGACATTCCACCAGCAGGATAAACATACATGCAAGGTTGAATCATCTTCTCTTTCCTCTTGGATCAGGAACTCAAGAAAACAGGTGCAGGAAGCAGGTGGGAACTCTGGTGAGCAGGATGCAGCTTCCGCCATGCTTATCCTGCTCAACGGCCCCATTGAGGTGTGGGCGGAAGGAATGAGAGGGCTCTTCAGCTGACTAGGGACTCATAATATACAGCAGGTCTGCAGAGAAGGGGCACGGGGTGGGGTGCCTACAAGCAGTTCTCCCAAAAGCCCTTGCAATCAAGTCTAGAAAGAGGCACTTTCTATGGCAGTGGATGAGAGAGTTTCGAGGGGAACCACATCATTCCGGTGGTTTGTTTAGAGATACGGCTTGGCCGTAAAGGAAGGGAACTAATTACATCTCCCACAAGTGGAGTTTGCTTTTCTGGCTAGAAGAGAAGAGGAGTGACCCCAAAGAATATCTCTTTGAGCTCTTTGTATGAATAGGCGAGTTTCCAGATGAGATGAGAGAAATGACAGAAAAGAAAGTTTCCAAAGAGATAAACAGACACCAAAGTTTAGAGAGGGGCAAATGGAAGAATGTGGCATTTTAAAATTTGTATGCGTATACCCTTACCTTATTTCATAGCATGCCTTGAAGCAATTTGCAGAAGTACACACACTACAGAAGGATAAGAAATAAATGAAGAGGTTAAAAAGGCGTTTGGGACCTCTGGTCAAAGATGGCAGCACAAAGGCATTTTTAGCACTTGTCCCTCCCTAGAAACCCATTTAAAACAACAACAATAACAAAAAATGAAATAAAAGCCCTTTATCTTCAATAAAACAAGGAAAAGGCCACAACCCCAACCACAAACTATGAAGCATACATAGTTACCAAATACTGTGAAATGTGGAGGGAAATGAGAGAGGAATGGAGACTGCCTCAGGGCTTGAGCAAAAAAGAAATTTCCCTAACTGTAAGGATTCTCATTCTTATTAGAATGATGTGTCCCTAAGCTAGGTGGGTCACCAGATGGATAGAAATGTCCCTGTGGAGGACCAATGCATCCCTGAGAACAATGGGGAAGTTGGTGCTCAAGGCAAAATCACACGGTGTCCACCATTTCCATTGTTTGAGGCCGACTCCAGTTCCAGGGCAACTGCCGGAGTGGGATGAAGGGAAAGAGGCTGAGGAAGCAACACTTGCATTAGCCAGAGAGCCTGTGATTTAAAAGGCTTTGCTGTGAACAGCATGTGCCAAAGATCTGAAAGGAAATAAGCATCCAACTGCAAAGAAAATAACGGATTTGATGAAAGGGGGGTTTGAGACAAGAAACCTGATCCATAGTTCCAGACCCCCACAGCTCATTTATCCCGCAAGCCCCACCCAAATGAAACTTCAATAAATAGCTGATCTCATTAAAACTTAGTCAGGAACACAACAGAACCCACAAAAGACTTAGGTATAATATAGGTCCTGCAGAGAAAGGAGGCACGTAACTTATAAAAGAGGCAAAAGCAGAGGAGACATGTTGATTATGTTTGAAATATCCAAGATGCTTCACTCTGGTGTGCCTGGTGGTGGCAAATTAAAGTATTATTTCTGTTGTGGAAAAAAATAGACTTGGTTGTGGACTTGAGTTAGCCAAGTAAATATTTTCCTGGCAGTGTACACCACCAGTGCAAAATGCCTATTAGGCTTCAACTATAATTAGAGCATTCAATTAACATTCTCAAGTGAATATCATTTCTGGCCTGGTGGTGGTTGGGACTTGGGAGGTATGAGCTCTTCCTGATATCTTTGCCTGGTAACTGCTGACTGATATTTAAGCTTGACGATTTAATGTGATCGTAACTAGTATAGAGGATAGAGGGAAAGTGTGAGTTGTGGCAAGTTCATGTCACAACTCATAGCAATTTGTTGTCCAACTCTTTTCAGTAAAACTGACCTTACTAAGGTTCAAAAAAAAAAGTCCAATATCCAACCCAACAGACACTTTTCATTAGTTCACCCACCTAATTTCTGGGATATGTGGGGTTTTGACCATCTTTTACTTCTCCGGAGGATTAGAAAGGAAGTATAGAAGGAAAGCCATATGCAGAGAAAAGATTAAACCTCTCATAAACACAGGAGGGCAGTGGTTTTTCTGAGTGCCTATTATGAGCCATTTGTAATTATTTCTCAAGTTTACAACCACCCTGTAAAAAATGGTGGCATTATTCCCATTTTAAAGATGGGAAAACTGACTCAGGGAGGCTAAGTAATTGGTTCAACATCACACAGATAATCATTAGGGGAGCTGAGATTCAAACCCAATGATGACAGAATGAGCCAATTAGCATTTAAAGGGTCATAGTATTGAGCATTCCTCAGTCAGAAATTTGCCTACTTAAAAACTTTGGTGGGGTCTAAGATGGAAATATGAATACACACATTTTACTCTACTTTCACACAAAATATCATTAAAAGGGCCAAAGGAATATAAGAACAGAAAAAAAATATGCAGGAAAATAGGAATGGGTGCTTTCCACTCACTAGAAATGATAAGTGCTTTAGCCACAAGATGCAGTGAAGTCATACAGAACTGGACTGCGTGGGCTGTGGGGCTGATCACCGTCACTAGGTCACATTTCATCTTCCAGGTCAATGCTGAGCTGGAGATGAGGGTTGGCCATGAACCTCCAGAAGTTTATTAGAGCAAGGAGGCTGCCAGGCGCACCTGCCTACCTCATGTCCACCTGTATGGTGACCGGGTGGGGCCAGGGCCCTATTTTTCACAAGCTTCTAATGCAGGCTGTATCTGCCCCAGGGAGTGGCAGAGTCAGGGTTTGAATGTTCTCTGGGATTTAGCGCATTTATGCCCGGGAGGCCAACTGTTTGCTCAATTGGTGCTGGGGACACTGAGATGAATTCAAAAGAGTCCTTATCTTCCATGAGTCCCAATCTTTGGTGGGCTGCAGAAATAACTGAGCTATGACAAATGGCAGGGAAGCCCCCAAGGGCAGGGAAAGCCCAGAGGAGAGAGTGACTCTTGGTGTGATGGGGAAAGGGCTTCCTCAAAAGAGGTGACACTGAGCTAGACTTTAGGCAGACCAAGTAATTGTTAATCTAAGGGGAGGTCAGCTCTGAAAGAATGGAAGGACACGAGAAAGACGTGAGTGGATGGAGCAGTGGGAGTAAATACTTGGGAAAATGGGAGTGGTTGGGCAATACACCTACCTACACCCATGCACACTCCTAAGGGGCACACGTCCAGGCCTCTGAGGACAGTTTACCTGAGGTGCCTGAGCAGAAGAGTGGGAAGGGCAGTGTTCCCTCATGCTTTGGAAGGTTCTGGAATATTCCTGTGTGCTCTGACAAAAACCACCACGGGGGCAGTTGAGGGAACAGGTGGGGTTGCTGCTCTTTATG